TATGTATATATATACACACAATTCTATTGTGTTTACTACACACAGTGCAGGCTCTAACTAGGGAGTATCTGCAAATACTGGGTGGAGAAAAAAAAAAAAGAAAAGGTATCATTAAGCAAATGTTATGTTCCTCATCTGAGAACAACTCTGTTGTCAAAACAAAGGTGAGTCCACACACCAGCTGTATAGAAGTGTGTGAATGTGGCCCCTGACTTCAGCTGTTGGTTTGGGTTATCGGTCTCCGTTTCTTTGAACTGGGCAACATTTAACATATACTGCAGAGATGAGTGTGGATTTCAAACATAAACCATAAGCCAAAAATGCTTTATTATGTACAACTCGATGAAAATAAGGCAGTTATATGATATAAATGTTATACAAGATAAAAGAATATAACGTTCAGTTTGTGTTGCAATTGTTTTAGAGAGATGTTGATTGAACTTTATGGTACATTTTGAGTATGTTTATAATATTCAGTCTACCCTCATACGTGTGTACAAACTATTATAAACCATAAACAGCAGCTTTAATGACATTAAGTTGAATCATCAACTCTCTATTGGTCAACTCACTCCTTATTACAGAGACATGCTGAGGCTTGCAGTCAACATTCAATTGCATTTGAACAATGCATGGGAGGAAAAGATACCAACAGTTACCGCAATTTGCTAAAATACCACAACGTATAACGACAGTCCTGTAATAGTTTGTACTAAGAACAACTTTAGTAACGTTTAAAGCTAAATTGGCTCACGTGACTGCTTCCAATTCCCACAGCCTGAGGGGTAGAATAACAAGCTGCCTCTGCATTTACCTCTCAGATAAATTATTAGCCTCCTAAACTCCACAAGATGAGATCATCGACCGTTCAAAAGTCCACCTTACCTGTTCACCCTGTCTGGAGCTCTACCGTCCGGGGTTAGGGTCCGATCGGTCGCCTTGTTCTTCTTCTCCATTGCCTCTTCTGCTCCGCTGATATCCTGAAAATATGTGCTAGAGTCTCAACAGGTAATTCACCGTGTTGCTTTTCTCCCCCCCCCCCCCAAAAAAAACCCCGCAACAATTCAAAAGTTTACAACACTCATGGAGTGTCGAAGTAAGTTGCGTTCAGGGTTAACTTTTCTCCGTGTTTGCGTGCAGAGAGACTGGACAAGACGCTGCACTTTTCCCCCCCATGCTGACGCTATAAAGCAGTGAGAAGCATTATTTACGCTTTGCCCGCAAAACAAAGTATCTTTTTTGTTTTCGCTCGTATCTTTAAATGTGTATCGATTCGCCGGTGTTCAAGCCGTGTGGAGAGAGCGGAGTTTGCCTTGAGTTGTGTCGCCATCCACTTGCGCCTGCTGCTCGGAGTGGAACTAACCGTCCTGTAGCACGATCACATCCACACTTAACGACTGTAGTCCAGATACAAGTCCCTTCCACTTGTCCTGTCCGGACCTACTGACGTTGGAGGATTTGGGGCTCGTGACGTTTGCACCAGGACTCACGTCAATCAGACCTAATGCTGCCTTCGAGTGATTCCCGGAACATCCCACTTCAGAGCTGGGAATGGCGAAATGGGATTTATGTTGCATTCATGGCGCGTTGGTTAGAGACATAGTGGAGTTGAGAGGGTCTGCGTCAGATTGAAGTTCAGTTTTGGCGTCGCTCGTGTTTTTGCTGTTATATGTACTTCAGCATACATGTACTACTGCCTACTAGAAACTAGTGACCACTTTTACAAGAAAACGCCCTTTTTTGACAGCACTGTTTATAATGTTATGTCATTTATTTATCACTTCGTATATTTCCTATATATAACCTCAAAGCAGCCCTGTCTGACAGGGTTGCCTCAAAGCAACCATTGATTTGCACTAAGCCACATCTGTCCTCATTTAAATAAAAATGAAAAATAAAATTGATATCTTAGAACTTTTTGCAAAAATATTTATTCGCCATTTAACATATCACGTTAATATTACCTGCTGACACAGACACAGCGAACAACTTCACACACAACTCCCTGATTTAAAAACGTCTCGGGTCATCCCCAGTCGATGGCCACCCCGTTTGCTCTCAACAGTGTTGGTAGGTCCGATAACACGTGAAGGCAGCCACGTAGCACAGGTACACGTATCTGTTCACCTGAGACTGCTGGGCAGCGTTGCTCCAGTCGAATATAAACATGTCTGCTGCATGGGTGATTTAGAGCTCCCACGATAATCTTTGGGAATTTACAGATAACATTGAGTTCAAATAGATATATGTGTTAATTAATTAATGAAGAAACAACATGGCACTCATCGGTGTATCTCTTTCTGTCCTGGCAGCACAGAGTTACATCCATGTGGAAACCTTTGATGAATGTATTATTTCTTTTGATGAGATAATATTATCATTTAAGAAATATATCAATAGATGTCTGTACACATGACATCTATTGCACGTCTGTCCACCCTGGGAGACGGATCCCTCCTCTGTTGCTGTCAATAAACTTTCTTCCTTCTACCGATGTGAGGGCCGTGGGACAGAGGATGTGTGTACAGATTGCAAAGCCTTCTGAGGCAGATTTGTGATTTTTGGCAATACAAAATAAATTTAATTGAATTGAAGTAAGAGTGGAACACCTTGCTCTTATATTGGAAAAGGTGATGGGTATCAAAATGATGCAAACTTTACATCAAGTCACCAGATTTCAGTTTGATTATGTGCTAATGAGAGAATCTGGAGCAGAGAACGGTGTCCCAGCGCTGTCATCCACTTCCAGGCAGGACTGTCGTAAAATGACACTTAAGGTTGTTCTAGTGGGGTTTTTGGAGGCTTTCTTAAAACACTTGTAGTAGTTTAGGAAATGAAAAATCACATGGTAATGTGGTTGGTGTAAAAAAAAAGGTCAAGTCATGAACGCTTGTACTTTTTGGATTTGTTTAATTTCCATAAACACCACAAAGATAGTTCAGTGTGTGGGGTGTGTGTATATGACTGTGCTGTATGTTGTTCACTGTTTGTTGAAAGTCATGCTTAAACCTACCTAAATGAAGTTACTTGAAATTTGGTTTCAGCGCGTCTGACCTACATGGACACTCAATAACAACACCATACTCTTCATCACCACTGCTGCCGATCAGGATTTCCCGGCCTTGGGATGGACGGCTGATGTATCATCTAGGTGTCGATCTATCATCCTCTTGTGAAAATACCAGAGTAAGTCCAAATACAGACTCATGTTACAGCAGTAGTGTAATCCTACTGGTGGGCGGAGATAGATCTGTGGGAATAAGATGAGCCTCCAACCACGGACATGTTTGGCACCGCTGTGTGCCGCCATTCGTCTGTTCAGGGCAATCGTCCCCGTGTCCTCTTTTGATTTGATTGAAGATCATGACAATGACCACACAGACGGCCGGTCCCTCATTGAGTAATCAATACACACTGCAGCTAGTTAGTATCCAAAATTGTACTTGAGCTCAATCGATGGTTGCAAATACTACTACCATAACCATATTCCACTTTGACAATAATGAATGAATTAAGCAGCATTAACAGAATGCTATTATAGTTTTGAGATGTTTATTTAAACAACAATAATAATGTGCTGCTTGTTTTTAGTTATTGAGACAGAAAAGAGAGTTTTGTATGTGATATCGTTGGAAATAATACAGCATACAGTTAAACTTGAGCAGCTTGACCCTGACAATGAAACTATTTGGCTTCGGAAGGCCTCCCCAGGAGGAGCTGGGAAACGCTGCTGTGGAGAGAGGCATCTGGACCTGGCCCGGCCCCGGATAATGGATGGCTCGATTAACGTAGATTTATATCGAATAACACCATCGAAATGCAAAGCTGTTTACAGTCAAACTCGTCTTCTAATACCCAGTCTTCATCATATCATGCAGTGTGCTCTACTTGTTCATGCTCCAATTTATGCAAATAGAACAGATGATGACAGAAAAAACAGTCATTTGGAGTCTTTGGACTGAAGTGATCTTTTTTTATCTTATCCTTATACTGTAGTCCTTTTAGGAGCTACTATATGCAAATACACTGAATGGCTTTTAACACAAGCCTATTGAAATATAGAATAACCTTTGAATCAACAGTGTTGTGATAAACGTATACACAAGATAAGTGTTTGCAATGGTTTTTGCCTGAGCAATTGAGGCCCAATATTTATAGTATGTACTAGCTCATGGATGAAAAACACCAGTTTCACTTGTTGCTCCCACTGCTTTTTAGCAGAGCTGTAACTGTGTATAAACTGTGTATCGTTGCTCATGCATGAAGGTACACTGAGAGTAGCTGGAATCTTAACTGAGAAAACTCCTCGTACATTATCCGTGAAAGGAAACAGTTGAAACCGTAAGATACGATTAACCTAGAAAGTGAAGGTGTCAGTAAATCTTATGACTTTGGGTTTATATGTTTGTTTGACTGAAGGATCCCCGTAGTTGATGGTTTTGTACTTTGGTCTCTGTTTTGGATTGTCTCTCTCAGGTTGAATCTTTGGTGATGTTACAGCAGACGCCTCTCTGCCTTCAAATGCAGCCTCACGGGCAGTGTCCTCAGAAAGTCGAAAACTTTGCGGCACGCTTGTGTCTTTTATGTCCATTGTATTCACTTGCTCTCCTCCCTCCTCGACCTTCCTGTCTTGTTCACGTGGTTGACCCTCTGTTGGTTTCTTTGTTGTTGTTATAACGGTTTGTGCCTTCATGTTATTAGGAGGACACTGATTAATTCCCCTTGTCGCCAATCCGGCCTTGAAAGCAGTCATAGAAGTATCAGAGTGTGGTGGTGGCGTTGCATCCAAAGGAGTTTTAGTTTCAGTGTGCGACGCTGATTGAGGGGAGGAATCATCGACATCTTGTTCAAATCTACAAACACACGGGATGACGTACTTGGGCAACCTTCTCTGAACGGTCACAGCTTTGGTTGGATCTTCCTCTGCTCCGTTCTCCACGTGGCCGTGGTCTTTATATGTAGAAAGTCCCTCAATTTTGGTCTCTAAAGGGCATCTCCCTTCAGTAGCTGCAGTGGAAGGTTCACCTGTGCTCATGTATTGTGAGGCTCTATGAGGAACTTCTGTCCTTAACTTAGGTATCTTTTCCAAGTGTGAGCTTTCTGATGATTCCACCGAATATAGTTTAGGAGAGGAATCTACACATGTGGACCACACAGGACAGCAGGTCACGACGGCTGCCACATGACACGTCACTTGGGCTTCTACCTGTGGAAGAAGCCTGTAAGGCTCGGGGAGCGACTGCTCGGTGACGCATGTTAAACACAGCAGCTCTAGATGTGCATATTTTAACTCGTTGGTGATACTAGTTTCTTCTCCTCTAGTCTGAATGTCACCATATTCCTCTGACTTCCAACCCATAACATCGTTATCACAAGCTTGATCTTTTACACGGTTCAATGAGCAGTGATCTTCAGAGCTTTCATCTGAGTGCTCGCTCCCCGTTTGTCTCACTTGGTCGTCTTTCAAACTCTTTTTTTCTTCCGGGTTTGAGTTGACTTTTGTTAAAGCGCCCTCTGCCTGCTGTTGTTTTTGTTCCTGCCCATTTCTAGTTTGATGTCCTTTCAACTGCCGTCCAACAGATTTACTTTTCATTTGCTTGCGTTGGTTTCGTTTGTGGACAGTTTGACCCAGCGCTTGCAGGAGCTTACTTTCATGACACGGTACCCTCTCGCTTATACTACTTGTCACCTTGACTCCTGCAGACGGCTTTTCATGTGAACATTTCAAGTCACGTCTCGTACATACAGTGGCCATGGACTCAAACCTCTCCATCAAGGAAGATAGGAGGCTCCCTCTTCCGACCGCCATTGGTTTGATTGGCTGTTTCTTCAGTACGTTCTCTCCATCTTCTTTTTGCTCAGCCACGGCAAACTTGGCTACGATATCTTTCACTCTGCCCCCCGTCTTCAGTCCTCGATCTCTTCTAGTCCGCTCCTTCTTGTGAATGTCATGCTCACTGTCTTGGTTGACTTTTCCTGCCAATCCTCTGCTGGAGGACAGAGTTCCTACCTCCCTTTGATGGGTGATGGGAGGTTTGGGTGTGGACCGTATGAATTTGGATTGGAGGAGCTGGAACGTGGTAAGACGACGTTGTATTAATCCTCCTGCTTTTTGCTCTCCTCCAAACCTCTCTTTTGGTGGATCTGTCCAATAATTTTCAGGGATATTGGAACCAGCAGTCTTTCCCTGGGTCTTTTCATGCTGAACTATAGTGCAACATGTGTTTCTTTCAACTACAACATCCGACCCTGCATGCTTCTCCGGGTTTCTGTTCCTGGTGGTCCACTTGGGCAGATCCTTTGTTAGGTAATGCAGGAGACTCTCCAGAATCCCTCGGAGCACAGGACGGCAGTTGCGGTCTCTAATCAACTTCCTCAACATACTGGCATCAGGGCAGATACTGGTTTTCCGAAAATCTGGTCTATGGAGAATAGAGGACATGCAAAACTTAATCCCTGTAGCCATCTGCAGTTAAGCATATACCTGATTAGTTACGGTTACTGACAGGAGAGTTGAAGGATGATACCCAAACCTGAGCTTAGCCTTTTCATTTTATTGTACTGTTTTGTGTATTTAGGTAGATAGAGTAGCCTAGACAGGGTTTACCGTAATGAATGGAATAATGGCACCACACAATTTTACCAGTTTCTGAATATGGGACCGCAGTAATCTCCAAAAGGACTACTTTTTTTTTAATCTTTCGTATTAATCTTTAACCTGAAGATATTTGACTCCATAAACAGTACTTCTACTTGAACTGAATGTACCAGAAGTAATTCCACCCCTGCAGCAAAGTAGAGGAGATACAATGTTCAGACTTGAAGTGAAGTGCTCCAGCAGTGTGAACTTGTTACAGGTGATTAGTTCAGGGGGATTGCAGCGGAGGGTTGTGAAAGAAGAGGAAATCAGGTAGGAGACAAGCTGTCCATCAAAATAAATGTTGTAGTTAAGATAAAGAGAGACAGGCACTTCATGCATGATTTATATTTATGAGTCCATTTTAATGTGCATATTATATTAATATTCACCATGTCATGGTGCTTTCACAATGTACACTAATGCTTGTCAAGAGCATCACAGTGCAAATCATAATGGATCACAGTATAGATACAATGATTACTACTCTACAGCTCAATAACATTATGCATAAAAGTTCAAATCATTTGCAAAAATCCCACCGCATGTTGCATGCTTTAAAAAAACCAAGATGTATGTAGATTAAAACTATTGACTGCGGGGCACAGACGTATCTTAAAATCAGTTAGGCTCTATCAAGTTTTCACAATGTTTTGAGGAATTAGATACGACATGACACAACATGACCATGTGCTTCTTGTTAATACAGGTTAGCTTTAGAAGAGGAAAAGGTCAGAGAAGAAAATGATCTAGATGTAAACTATCCGACTATTCTCAGTTAAAATAAAAGTTATAAAGGCAGAAGCGTTTTCTTTTCCCCCACAGTTCTGTCATTTATGGATTGCAGATGTAGCTCCTGAGAGATGATCTCACAGGAAATAGGCTGAAGCTCAATACCCTAATTGGTCTCCCTTTTGACGTTCTACTGCCCCAAACCTATAGGTGATAGGTGGCTCAACTTTTCCAATTCATGACAGGCCTGTGTAAAGCAAAATTCAAGGAGTTGAGGGCAACAGAGGCAAGGAGAGGACAGGGTGCCACCTAATACTGCCAAGGGACTAGAGGGTAGCTTGGGACAAAGTGAAGCAGTTTGACAGCCATGTGCAGCTCCTCTGATAGCCAGTAGGGTTCAGGCCAGTGAAGAGCAGGATTACTTGTCTGTGCACTTCTCTGCAGATGCTGCTTTGTAAAGCTTTTCTCCCAGCTCCTCCAGACGCTCTCTTTTGTCCAAATCCTGGTACAGTCCTGGGGGAACCTGACTCAGGCCGTGCATGAGGCCAAAGAAACACCCTGCGATCAGGCCTGTGGCTTCACTCTCACCTTAAAAAACAAACAAACAGCATTTTCACAGAAGTCACAGTGAGCAGTGTTTTATCCGTCTGTTTTTTAAACTGTCATGCAGGTTCTCACCTCCATGGAACATGGCTCGTTTACACAGTTCAGCCCAGTCACTCCCTGCCGCCAGAAGGGCATCGTAGGCTATCATGGGGGCATCATGGCCTCTGTGTCCCGCACGGCCCTCTGAGCTCCAGCGCTTATAAATCTGTATGGACGAGGACAGAGTTAGGGGTTTTGTTACGTAAAAACCTGAATGGAAGCTTTTTCTTAATGTATGTTTTTTTGTGTGTGTGACAGATAGGCAGGATTTACTTTATCAGTCTCCTCAGCATCATAGGGATCAGGAAAGGAAGGTTTGTTCTCTCCTTCCTTCTCAATCTCTCTCTCTTCCAGGTAAAACTGCCACTTGGCCTCAAAGTAGAACCAGTTTTCCTGATACTCTGCATATTAGTGCACAAACACACGTTACTGGTTTCACACAAGAAAAGGCCACTTCAGAAATAAGTTTAAAAAAAAAGAAGAAAACAATGATTGTTTTTTCTTGAAACGAAAAGAAAAATCTGTGGATGCAATAAGTGAACATTCGATTGGTAAGATTTCTTGAAATAAGATGTAATATTTTGGCCTTAGTTCAAGATAAGAATTTATCTTGAACTAAGCTGGGAAATCTCATTTTGATCTCGTTAAGTGTTGTTTCATAATTAGCCTTTATTGCTGTATTTTCACTTAACATATTCAAGATGTATTGTCTTAAATGAAGTCTTTTAATCTCACTGAAATGTTACTTGGTTATTGTGTCTTGTATATAGTGTTATGAGATATTTTGACTTATTAGTCAAGTATACGTTCTCTTGCAGCGCATCAGGTTTTTGCAGTGCATCTGATGGTCCTACTCTCTCAGACAGATGTGCATAGCAAACTCAGGAAACTGTTATGACAAACTCATGTTGTTTATTTTTACAAAGAAGCTTCAGTCAACCTGGATCAATCAGCCCAACTGTAAAATTAAGTGCCCCGTCAATAACGCAGACAGAAGCGCAGTCTAACCTGACATGTGTCGTATGGTCTTCCTGCAGTACTCCTGAGCCAGATGGATGACCTTCATGAGCTCGCGGCCCCAAGTCACGGGAGCTTTCCCCTGGATCGCATAGGACGCAAACAGTGCCGTGGTCATGGCGCCTAGGAATCCTGACGCCAAGAGTGACACCACAAGTCACTACACCGAATTTGTCTACACGGACATGTCAAACTCACCAATTAAGGAAGAAGTATATACTTGTTATTGGTGAAATGCAATTAGAGATGCTTAACAGTTTATCAGCAGAAGAATAATCAACCTGCAGTTTGATAAGATTTGTGTGGGCAGGTTAGCGACTGCCGACATTGTCACCTGTGGGGTGGTTGTGGGTCATCCTGCCGATCTCAATGCTGACCTCCACCAGGCTGTCTATTCTCTCAGGTTGCCAGTATCTCATACCCACACACATGGCCTTGGCAGCTGCCCCGAAACCAGACCCTGGACACAGACACATGTGCACACATCCAGACACACATTTTCATATGCTTAAATGTTGGAAAAAAAAAAAAAACAATATATAAAATCTCCAATGACCCTTTTCATTGAAGGGTGTATGCCAGGCGAGCAGGAAGTTGTGAGGTTTGAGGTGAACGCAGCCCTCCACTGTGGCAGGATCAGGGGCTCTGCCCTGGAGAGACACCATGGCTTCAACATAGAGACGCACCAGCTCCCGGTACAGATCCTCCAGACACCAGTAATCTGGACACACACACACAGTGACTGAGAGTCATTCATGATTGGCATGCAAGTCGAGATGAGTGGTGCTGCGGTGGGCTAAGTTTAGCCTCAGCCTGCCACGCCACAGATTAGGACCAGCATGCCATCGAGGCGAGTGGAGTCACTTCCACACAGCATGAGGTCAACTGGGATCCACGAGCAGACCCCACAGCCGTCCTGCTAGAATTTAGTTTACGTGTGTACTGTATGTGTCTGCGTACAGTATGTGACAGAGAGAGACAAACTTCTTCTTTCTTTGTTCTCTGCCTCAGATAAGAATGTGTAGCCCTATATCTGTTGTTAATATTTACCCTGTTATTCTGTACGCTGGTAAGAAGATTGGCAAAGCAAACACTGACATTCACAACTTCCATTCCACTCCATGAGTTGTGTGTGCGAGTATGTGTACAGGCATGCTGGATTGCGTCTAAATAGGGCTTCCTAATCTCAATAGATGTCACCACCATTGCACAGTGCCGCTGTCATTGGCTTTGAGCCGCATCTGCAGCCAAACATGATACCGGTAGATTATGGAGGAGTCTGACCTGCTATTGTTCAGTAAAGGAGAGCTGAGGATCAGCTTTTTTCAAAGTAGTCTATTTTGGACTTTTCTGTCCCGGCAACTCCTGGCCGCTCTGCGGGGGAGCTTGAGATGACATTTGAGTAATCTGTAGTTAGGCTTCTACTGACATTTTATCTTTGATGATCATGTGGCAATGATTGATTACGATATGGCCGCACGTTGTCATTCAAAGACGGCCTGCCAGTTAGTGATTAGCAGCTTCCTTTGACTGTATGAAACTATTCTGGTCCTCTTAAATGTAGACTGTGTCTATATTTTATTGAACAGATAAAAAATGAAAGATTTTGTGTGAAGTTAGACAGCAGGCAATGAGTGTCTACTCTTGCTATGATTTCCACTCTCTAATCTTCCTCTTTGACAATGATCAATCCTAAACGTACCTGTTACCAGTGCTTCTGCTGTGGTGATGTGCATCAGCGTTGCATCACTCAGGGGCCAGTTATCAGGGTCCAGTTTCTGGGCCCCAAGTCCCCCCAGAGAGGCCAGTTCCTCTTGGATCTTCTTGCCTGAGATGCAGCCCTCCCAACGGCCCTTTCGGTAGCCCAAGGAATCGCCAACGGCACCCAGAACCATTCCTGCCTTGAATTTCTCCATACTGTGCTCCGCTCACCCAGCTGAAAAAGTTCTTCTCCTGGGATTTAGATTGGCTCCTTTCAGCTGTACTTTTTCTTCACCACCTTCAGCAGACTCAGTGTCATAGAACAATGCAAACTGAACAAACTCTCTTGCCCCAAAACATCCTGAAGAACTTCAAACAGCCTCACCAACTCTCCCAAAAAGATTTCCGCTTGACGTGGAGCTATTATAGACCTCTGTCTCCACTACATAACAAGCTCTGCCACCTTCCCACCCTCAGAGCTCTCGTCTAGTTTCTCATCAGTTGTCTCACACACAAACACGCACTCTCCTTTCCAGGGGCGGGTGCACGCACGCACACGCACACTCACGCACACAGACGAAAGCATTGCGTTATCAGCCACAGCTTCTTTGTGTTGGGCAGCGGGGAGTTTCAGCTGTGATCAGGTGTCTCCTAAAAAGGCAATCCCCATGGCCCCAAAGCCTCAAAGCTGGATGGCTGGGTGTGGAGTGGTAATGGGAAGAGATGCTAATGTACTGCTGGGCTGGAGCGTCAGCTGGTGCTGGACCTTGTTGACATCCCAACCGGCCCCCATGGGAGGAGGGTAAGAATGGAGCATCATCTCCGCTCCACTTGCTTGCCTCCTCCTTTATTGAAGCTCTCCAGTCTTTACATCACTATTTGAAATGTCTTTGTTAGTCACCTCCTTCCCTGACATCAGATAATCTCCTCTCCAGTTATGCACACTGCATCCAAGAGTTCCCCTCCCTCTCAGTTTCTTTAATCTTCATCTAATGTCTCGATTGTAACCCTTTTGACACAATCAGTTGTCACCAACCCTTCATTTATTAAGTGTATCTGTTGGTGAATGTCACCCTGAACATACCCAGAGTAACAGTAGACAAAGCTTTACCAGAGGAGCCCATGATGATGAGGATATGCAGCAGGAATGCAACCTGATAAGGGACAACTGTCACCAAGGTGACATTTTACATACACTCGCTAACACACACACAGTAGGGCAGTGGTTCTCAGCAGGAATATGGGAATTGTTTTTGTTTCATTCCTTAATGCCATTACATTGTTCCATCTCTCTTCTGGGCTTCTATTGGAAATAAAGAACTTCTGCAGAGTATCATAAATGGCTGACTGAACTCCACGTGATCATGTGGTCGCCCCTTATAACATATAAACATTTTAGATCTACAGAATACTGCTATCCAATACACATTTTCTAAATAAAAACTAACAAAATAAGCTGCTGACATTCTTGTCTTACACGAGTGAAGAGTTTTCTTCGATGAAATAATCAATCGAGTTGTATATTTTTCCTGCAATTTTGCATTCATATTGATGTCGGAATGTTTTTAATATCGGGACACTGATTTTAGCACAACACAATGCTGCTGACCAGCATTCAATATCTTCGTTTCTGACAACGAAACGCACATTTGCTGTCAGAACTCGCTGCTGTTCCTAGAGAGGCACGACTTTCACACGGCTGTCAAAAACAACATGCTTTATTGACAACATGTACGGTATGCTTCTGTGACAAAACATAACATTCTGTAAATACCTGTTTTCTTGCCGGCAAAAATAATACTGTTTTGATAAGAATGATCTGCATGACTTGAAACAGTTGACCACACATTTGACAAATAGAAACGTACCAAATGTACCATATTAGCGAACTGAATACTGAGAGACGTCACGTTATTCTCGCTCCTGAACCACAGACGACGTCAGATGATGAAGTCAACAACGATCAAGTGGGAAAAGCTTTCGCACCGTCGTGACCGAGAAAAGTTTGTGCACAACTTCGACAGCCAGAAAGTCACATTGGATATTTCATTCCACCAACACGTATCTAACTTCACTAGTTACAAAGATGAATACGACACCGGCTGCTACTAGTGACTGTTTGACAGTCGTGATGAAGCTGGTGTCTTTGACTGAAATCATAATCATCCTGATTTGCCTTAAACTTCTGAGAAGTCTACTTCATGCACACCACCACCAGTTTATGACTGACCTCCGCTTACATAAATATGAAAACTTAGAAACACACATTTGTCAATTTAAGGAAAACAAAAAGGCAATATTTCCCCTGTAGTTGAATGAGATATTTGATGCAGGGAAATAATCCATCCTTATTTCAACACATGGCAAATGTCTTATCATGGTGACAACAATTGGCAAAACAAGTTGGCATAGTTAAGATGGCAAACACTGATGCAAGTGCAGGGAGCTGCCTGTTGCTCACGGTGACCGGGAGAGGAAGACTGGTACCTGAGCGCTGCCTTCTGTCACACACTCGCTAGCCAAGAAAGCGGGATGCATTTAGTGTTTAGAACTACACTTGAAGAGCAACACTAAATCTTGTGTGAAGGAGAAGCACTGCACCCCTAGATGGCAGCACAGGTGTGGTTCTCAAAGTGACATGTTTTCTTTTTCCTCTTTAGTAGTGCTGTGGTGCTAATCCATGGAAAGCAACAGACCTAAACCTCAAACAGTGTAAACAAAATAATTCAAAATAATGATTCAAAAATAATCGTAGCTGGGATGCAGATGTTCCTTTCAGTCTAGTGTGTATGTGAAACCTTACGTCCAAGTGATCCGACCAGCTCTGCAGCTCAGTGCCGCCTGATAAAAGAAAACCTACAACAGAAAAAGTGTAAATCAGCGCAGTTGGCAGAGTCGGCAAATCACCTGGATGATAGAAAACAGTCGGTCAGTTGTGTACAGCAGTTCACACACTGTGAAACTAAAGTCATCCAAATAGCAGAAGAGTTTTAAAAGGTGAGGATCCTAAAAGCTTCTTTATGTACTAATCATGATTCTAAATGCCGTTACCTGTTTTCTCAGATATACATTTGTTCCTCTAAAGCTGAATCTATTCTTACTCCTATGGGTTCAGCGCGTTACCGCTGTAACAACAGTGATTCTGCTGGTGCTGAGCTAGAAAAGCATGCCGCTCTGTCCAGGCCTCAGTGAGAGTACAAGATGTGGAGCTGAACTTGTTCCCACCGTGGCTCAGTTAAGGTGAATCATAATTTATTACGCTCTAGTTATAATCAAACCAAATGAAAATATTTAGCATTGTATTGTAAAAGAGGCAATATGTTTAACCCCAACCCTAAAACACACACGCGCGCACACACACACACACACACACACGCGCACACGCGCGCGCACACACACACACACACACACGTCTTCTCTGCTCTCGGTGTGATTGTTAGAGAGCAACACATTCATGATCTCAGTGAAAATAACGTAGAGCACCCCTCCCCTCGACGTCCACGGCACTGCTTCACGCTAGCTGACGGAAACATGCAGATTTTAAAAACACACTGTTCCATTCACAAAGGACGATGTAAGAGGCCACATCCTACTGCATCTATAACTTAATCCTCCGCGTGTGTCGAGAGTTCACCGTTACCGTCCCTCCTCACATGTGCCGAGGGCGCAGGTTAGTGAGCCAAGTCCGCAGCAGCAGCAGTTTTGAAGCCACAGCCATGGGCGATGGGCGACCTATCATTTCCATATTGCAGTTTCAAAAGTCTGTCCTTTGCCAAACAAACAGAAAAAATGACGATCTCCCTCCTGTTGATTCCCCTCCTGCTCTCCTCTCTGGGCTGGTGTCTCAGGTCACACCCCAGTCAAGGCATCTTATGCAGTTGAAAGATCAATCTTACCGACAAGCTGCAGACAGGCTGATTGAGAAGTACTCTCTTTTTTTGGCTCATTTGTATAAAAATCCTCATTCAAAAAAAGAAGAAAATCGGGATAAACACAAACTCCGTTCGCTGCACGACGCCGGGGCAAACACTATGTTATGTTGCGCTTACTCGTCACAATCGGCCGAGCAAACTCCACAAAGTCATCTATGAGGACAGGCCATGCCCCTGAGGAGAGAGAGAAAATAATAACACTGAATATTAAGAGATGTCTCAACGTAATCTACAAGAAGGGCTGCGCATCACTTTAACAAGCTCACCTTCCTCATCATAGTTTGACATGTCGTCTGTGATCATGTTGCCGAAGTCCAGGAGGAGGTTCCACGTGTCCTTGGGAATCGAGCGCTTGTGATGCTCCTGAATGCAGCACAGACGCAGGAAAAGAGCGGGAGATAAAAGTGACTATTAGATATCCCTGTGCATTGAAAGTCAATTCAACTTAGTCGCTGTTGGCATTTGTCGCGTTGAATGCATTCTCCGGTTATTTTTGTAGGCTGTTGTATTTGACTGTATTCGGTCAACTTGTTTGAAATACTTTTGCTTCTTGAAAGTGAAATGGACAGAATATAGCACTTAAAGAATTGGAAGTCTTGTGCAACATCCCTCTGACATACAAAAAGTAAACAACATAGTGAAAACAAAGACTTCCTCTCTCACCAGCAGGAAGCGGTTCCAGAGATCCAAAAACTTGAAGCGACCTGTGAGAACTAGATTCCAGTAAGCAACGGCCATCTCGAGGTCTAGGGCAGAAAGTAGAGCGAGATTTCACGATTGTGTTTTGGCAAAACCCGATGAGACGAGAGTTTCTTTTCCTACGTGCTCTTATGTTCTTGACGCTTACCTAAACCTTTCTGGCCGGGGTTCTTGGCAAAATTAAAGGTAAACTGGTAGAAGTCTTTAAACTTCCCTGTGTCTTTCAGGTCCTGCTCTAGTCTGGGAAGGATCGCCTTGAGTTTCTCAGGACTGTCACAGCTAGAGGAGACATTGAGAGGAAAAGTAATCCTGTTATTATGAGTTAACACCTGAGGTTTCTCACCATGTTAGCTGTTGTAGGACTCACATTTAACAGTATTTTAGATTCAATGTTTGGGCTCATAAAAAAAAAACAACTTCTCGCTACTTAAAAAAAAAAAATCACACCTTAATAAACATCTCCTTAATGTGTGGAGGATGCGGCGGCATCAAAGATTGTGGATCTCAGTGTCGTCTGTGTTGCTCACCCTAGCTCAGCCATGCCGTCCATGAACTCTTTCCTGCTGAACTCGCACTGCGTGGCCGCTCGGAACTTCCACGCCACCACAAGTATGCTCATGCTAGCCGGGTCCAGCGTCAGGTCATCGCAGAACTGCTGGATCCCGTCAATGCCTATCTTGTTCTCATCCTGGGGGTCTGCAAAGACATGCCGAGAAGAGTGAGCAAAAACAGGACGGGGGAAACTGCGCCGACATCGAAACTAGTTGTGGAGCACCTTGCCTTTGTATCTGTTGTAGAGCTGGTCCAGCTTCTTGCGGTCCACTGTGGTTTTCATGGATTCCTTGTAGTAGAGGTCTGGATTCTGGAAGTAGTTGTCTGTGGCGACCTCTAGTTTCCAGTCATTCTGCGTCAGGCAGTACACGGCTGTCCTCTCCCCGGCCTGTGTGAAGGACATGAACTGCCGAACCTTGTCCTTCTGCGAAGACTTCAACTTGTGCTGTAAAAACAAGCAGGCGCACAAAAAGGTAAATGCAGGGCTGTAGTAACCTGTTCGGGCCTGTTAAGCCCCCACACATACCCACCCAACACAATTTTACACTGAATACTACATGTCCAAATTTGTTAGGAATATGCACCCTGTCAGCACAATATCAAGTGAAATATTAAAATACTTAAAGCAGAATTTTGACAAAGGGCTTTGAGAGGTTATGTTAAAATGCAGAGTTTTTACCATGCATCAGTGGTGCATGTAACCAAACTAATAATCTAATTTTCACAAACTAAGTGCTATACGCACAACCTGGGGGGCCTTCAGGATCCCTGAGGGACTGGACACCTGGGACAGGTGGTAATCCGTCTGGATGCACAGACATGCATGTGGAGTTAGAGCTGAACATCAACATTCTCCACAACACACAGCCTAAACTTTCCTGGAGAGTGCAAAGATTTGATTTATATTTATATCTCCAGGCTGGAAACTGGTCCTTGCACTTAATCTGCGTATAAACACCGTTAGAGGTGGATTACACTTCAATAACACGTGCCATGACTGTAAGATCTGGCGATTTAAAAAGTAAGACTCGTGCTATGGGACATACCAAGCAGCAGCCTGTGCATTAGTAGAACTATTAAAACACCGTCACTTCCAAATGCAACACCGCCAGGTTCCGTTAGTTTACAGAAAATACTCAATCGTGTTAATTGTATCCAGACGGTCATCGGGAAGATCGCACGTCTTTGCAGAACTGCAGACCTGACCCACCCGATGATCAAACAGCAAATCCGCCGTGACAGGCCAGGGTTTGGTGACCCACTTTCCCTCGGAAGGGGGGCCGTCTGATCCTGCAGGCTCTCTGCTGACAGCAGGCAGCACCACAGGCTAGTTACCAAAAAGGGAAAGGTACGTGCGGCAAGTGCGGGAGTCCGATCTGAAAATACCAACAACTGACCTTCCATTTCCCTCATATCCCCGACACACATCACCCTGGCAATGCGACACTTGGCCGAGGACAACCCCGATCCCCTCTATCGGTGTGTCCCCTTAACGGCAGTGACAGCCGTGATCGGTGTGTGTACTTGTTTAACGGAGTTAAAGAATTGCCCCGGTTTCTCGTTTTTGATCTTACCTACCATTTTATCACACGCTGTTTTGGCCCACTTGATATCCAATTACCCCTGGTGCGCATGCGCGAAAAGAACTGCACTACTGGAGGGGCACTTGGTTCATGGGAAATGTAGTTCTGTAGCGCTGAATTTCCACAGGCCGAGTTTTTTTTTTAAACACCTTAGCTTAATGGCTTTCTGCACTAATAGACACCTGTTTCGGAAACATTCTTAGTTTATTCTCAACGTGTTTCTACTGAAAAAAAATGTAAGAAAAAAGTCACATAACTTTATGTCAAACTATCTGTTAGCAACACATTAAATATATGTTTTTGAGTGAGTATGACAGTCAATGAAACTCATTTAAACTGCGTTGTTGTTGTTTTTAAAACAAAACTGTATGATGTCACGTGACCACTAAAAGTACATTCAACCAGGGAACCGCTGTCACACGATCGAGCAAGAATACATAACACCTGAAGAAAACTACAACTCCCATATCAAAGCTGATCAAAATGTTTCGGAAGTAATCTTAAAATGGATCAAAGTTATCTTGACGCTATTAACTTACATCAGAAAACAATGTCGTGACAGCAGTTGTCCACAATTTCGGCCGCGGTCTATGTTTAACGTCAGAGCGTCATGATGAGCTGTTGTGTAATAATAAGTTGCTGGTATTAATGTAGCTAACTTATTTAGCTAACGTTAGCAAAGTTGTGTTAGCGTTAACGTCATGGGAGTGTTTGGGCTCAGCTGGCTGGAGCTGGTCTGACAGCTCCAAGGAATTTGAGGGTTAACTTAGCTGCACAGCTTCAGAAAAAAAAAAAACAGGTTGAACTCTGTACACATTAAAACAAACTACTGGTCCAACTTCGACAGGGGTTACACCAACAGGAGTCGCACCTACCTGGGCAGCATTCCGCTAGCATTCCCTTTGCTAGCACGAATAAGGACACCGCCGGCTGGAGGTCGAAGTAATCATGAAGTTGGTTGCCAAGTAAGCCGGTGAACGCCTGCACCGACGCTGGCTTCAGCTATGTGGCAGAGGAGGAGGGGTGTCGGAGGTGGTGGTGCTGCGGTACAACAGCGTGATTGTTCCCTTCTTCCTCAGCTTCTCCTTCAGTCGTGGAGTGGAGTTGAGAGCCAGGACGGTGCACATATTTCGCAGGTAGTTGCAACCGTTCTTTGTTTATCTTTTTGACATTGATGCACATTTAAATACTCTGGGTGGGACATCGGACTAATTCATAATGGCACCGTCACGTCTGGGGTGTGTGTTCTGCTTTCTATGTTGTTACTCCTGGCTGTTGTGATTTTTTTGCATTTTTTTTATTGCAGTGATTAGTTGCAGTATTAGTTTTTCCTATTTACAGGTTTTTTTGTTGAGCATGTTTGTATTTATAGTTTTGCATCTAATAGTACAGAGTAAACTCCATGTTCTCAGTAGCCAAAATTGACAACCAGTCAACTTAATTGCATATCAGTGATGGAAAGTAAACGTGCCCATAAAGTACTGTACTTAGTTTTTAGTTACTTTTATTTTACTTGAGTGTTGATATTTTATGTCACTTACTCCACTATGTGTCAGAGTGCTACTTTTCAGATTAGCTTTTTACACACAGATCAGTTGGTGAAATATGCCCCATTGTTGTAGATTGATCCAGCTAACAGGATGTGAATTGTGCTGTTGATTTCCAGCAACAGTACCCGGGTGGCTGCAGTCCAGTCGTAGGAAGAAGGACATAGGAGGAGTTTGGAAAGTAAACATCACTCAGCTTGACTCATGCTCACAAAGGTGCGGTCCTGCTTGATGCGTCCAGTCATTTACGTGTACACGATGTCGGGGTACAGGAGGACATGCTGTGTGCAGTAAAGCAGTCTCTTAAATTGGCTCAGTTCTTAGACCTTAAATGCGATGTCACTTTAGGGCAGAGTAGCAAGCATGGCTGACGTTTTTAAACATGTGACGTGCTCAGTCAAGTCGAGTGCACTGAACACAGAACTACAAGGTGCAATTAGCTACTCAAGCAGCCAGTTGAGCGGGTCACAGGTCAGTACACCCAGCCTTTGTTTAAGCTGCTCACTTGTGATCAAAAGACTAAACCGTCTCCTGAGATGACAGTAAGAAGCACAGGGTGGCCCACATAAAAAGAGATTATATCAAATTAGAGAACGAATACTGTCACCCATCTGTGCTTTGATGGGATGACTGGCAATTCCTGTATTTCTAAAATGTTGTTGTCAACAAATCCCAGGAAAAGTCCAAAACAAACAAGTTGTTAGTCCATCCCTCAATTCTTTCCCATGTCTCCCCTGTCAGTGGCTTTTAGCACCAAGACCTAGACAATTAAACAGGAGTAAATAGTCTATTTGTTGGAGACTATTTTCAGCTGCAGATTTGGTAAAAGCTGGTTAATTTTCAGGTCATCAGAACAGTGTATGAACACACACAGTTCAGCAGTGTGGCTCTCTGGCTGTGCTTATGACTGTTTTCGGACAGCAAGCTCTTTAGTGGTATTCTTCTCCTTATTGTTGTTTTTTTTCTGTCAGAATTTGTAACAACCATGCTCTTTCTTTTTCCTTTCCCAGATCTCTTTCTCTTCATCAATCTTCACGCTCGGGTGAAGACAGAAGTAGTGGTTTGGATGCAGGTTGTGTGTTGGCTGCTGTGCCTTGGCGTGGCGGGGGCACTTGCTGTGCTGCAGAAGGACCAGGTGGCCAAGCACGCCATCAAGCTTTATTGGAGCCAGCAGGCCGCACACGGCCACAGCTGGCTCACCAGCAACTGCAAGCCGCTTGTGGTTCTCCTGCGTCAGAAGAATGTGGTTGTCAGGAAGCTGGCGGCCGCTGCCGACGCTGTCAGACGAGACCCGGCCCTCTCAGAACCAGAGAGACTCTTCCAGGTACCAGACGGACAATGCGTTGATGGAGCAAAGGGCCTCTAGTGATTTGCAGTGACTGTTTAGCTTTATTTTATATACAACCCTGGTAAAGTACGCGTCTTTGTGTCTTTGTGCTTTGACACAATAGCTGAACAATAACGCCTGTTCATATTTCTTACTTGCAGATCAAGTTTCATGTACAGAGAGGAGGTGCCCTGGTTATGTTAGAGCTGCAACCTATAATTATTTTCATTATTCATGCATGACTCAGTTGTTTGTTTTACATTACTCAATTAATCTTGTGATTTAAAAACAGTGAAAAATGGCGTTTGCAATTTCCCAGAACCCCTCTGTCCAACCATTGGCTCAAAATATAAGTTTATTAAATTTACAACGACACAAAACAGAAAAAGCAGCAAATTCTCACATTAGAGAAGCTGGAACAAGAAAAAAGTTGGAATTTTTGCTTGATTACAGACCATTACTCCCATTTTAACCCATTGTTTCTGGATCTATTTTGTCCATTTTCTCATGTCCAAACTCTGATGAAGACACGCAAACTTCTCTTGTCTAGTGTTTCTAAATGAAGACCATATACAGGGGCCTCGGTTAAAGAGGCAGTCAGATATTTTACAGTTGTCTCCCTGTTTGCATTCAGGTTCACACTCTGGAGGTTTTCCAGAAGGAGATGAACGAGAGCGAGAAGCTGGTGTTTCAGGCGGTGCACAGCCTGCAGAGGGCGCTGCAGGGAGACTACAGGGATGTGGTCAACATGAAGGAGAGCAGCAGACAGCGGCTAGAGGCCCTCAGGGAGGCAGCCATAAAGGTGAGGGCGTCGAGGTCAGCAGCGTTTCAGTGTTTCTGATGCAAACGTTTATAAATGTGTTCATGTTGAATGTAGAAACACATCTCGACGAAGGCAAGGAATTAATGTCGATGCCACGAGTGCGATAATTCAATATTGTTTTGTGATTTAGTTATTAATTGATTCAATCATTTGTTTGGTTAAGTGATCAATTGTTTAATCTCTAAAATATCACTAATAATGAAAAATGGCCGCCACACGTTTTGTTAGCCCAAAGTGACGTCTTCAAAAATGTCTTGTTTTGCAGAACAGCCTCAATCTCAAAGATATTGAATTAATTCAATGTCATTCATTTTTTTTGCTTGATTAAACAACTGTAATAACTGATCTATTATCAAAGATGTTGATTTGTGATCCATCGAGCAGCTAATCTAACACGAGCTTCAGTTCTGTATATTTGTTGTACATTTGTTGTCCAAATATATGATTTCAGGCAGATCGTAATTAAAAACGTTCAACATTTCATACAATAGCAGAGAAATATTATATTGATTTCAACCACATCGCCCCCCCTTCCCCGTGTATGCTGCCACATGCATCTCTGTTAACATGTGTGTGAAGCTACTTGCTAATACACACCTGTCTCTTGGGCTTTGCCTCTTACCTGTCAGGAGGAACAGGAGTATGTGGAGCTGGTGGCTGCTGAGAAGCACCAGCAGGAAGCCGTTAAGAGCGCTTTAGCCCAGAATAAGACTCTGTCCATGCTGGATGAGATCCTGGAGGACGTCAGGAAGGCAGCAGACCGGCTGGAGGTGGAGATCGAGGAGCACGCCTTTGACAATAACAAACAGGTCAGTTCAATAGTGTCGATACCAACGAGCTCGTGATTGCAAATAAGCGTCGTTGTTCGACAAAGCATCAAATTGTGCCTCCTTCTACGCTCACCGTTTGTGCAGATGAAAGGAGTAAACATAGAGGCAGTGTTGAGAGTGGAGGATGACGAGGAGAACGGAGGGAAGAGGAAGAACAAGTCCAAGCAGAAGGAGGTGGAGGACGACCTGGGACTGAGCATGCTCATCGACTCGCAGAACAACCAGTACGTCCTGACCAAACCTCGAGACTCCACGATGCCACGAGCAGACCATCACTTCATCAAGGTCAGTCTATTCCTCCAATTTGTTTTGAATCCTACGCGTAGAATAGCGCTGTGTCTAATAGTTGGTACGGTTGAACCGTGCTTTGTATGTGCAGGACTTGGTGTCGGTGGTAATGCTGTCGCTGCCCTGTGGTTGGATCTGCTCTCTGGTCGGACTTCCTCCCATGTTTGGATATATCATCTGTGGGGTTCTGCTAGGTCCCTCTGGCCTCAACAGCATCAAGGTGTGTGTGTGTGTGTGCGTGTGTGTGTGAGAGATTTCATTGTCGGATGAGACTTTTAAGAACGACATCAGTCTGTGCTAGTTGTTCATGTCGGTCTCTGTCTTGCAGTCGATGGTCCAGGTGGAGACTCTGGGGGAGTTGGGTGTGTTCTTCACTCTCTTTTTGGTGGGACTGGAGTTCTCACCTGAGCGACTTCGAAAGGTAAACAAGAGGGATTTGAGTTTAGGACTAAAATTGTGCAATAAAGTCCTTTTTCATCAAAGTTTGTTTTTTGCAAGCCGTGCAGGACTTTAAGACGTATGCAGCTCACAATAATGCCGTGTTTTTTTACGGGCATGCAAATTAAAATCACCTCAAAATTGATTTATATGTTATTAGCGACAAAAGGAGGATCTGCAAAATCTGTGAATGCATTGGCACGTCCTTTTTTTAACTACATACCTAAAACTCAATTCAGAAGCTACAGTGATGTCATGGGTGCACAGTGATTGTATCTTCCATCTCGGTGACACTTACCTTTTTAGCAAATTCCTGATACATTAATGATTAAATAACCACCAAATAAAATGTTAGTTACACATGTGATGTTACTTTCCCTGAAAATTGGCCAATATCCGTCTAGCTTAATGTTACTTGAAAATCACGTTCTTATAAAAATGACTTTATTCCCCTGAATGTTTAAATTGATGGCCTTTATTTCATAGATTACAAAGTAGCTGCTTTTTGTTAGTTACTTACTTTCATGAAGTGGGCTGATCTACATACTGTGTGTGTGTGTGTGTGTGTGTGTGTGTGTGTGTGTGTGTGTGTGT